CTTCGACTTGGGCTGGAAGGATTTCTTGCCGCAACTCAGCCGCAACTCTCTGTCGTCCGAGGTGATCTCTTCTCGCTGCCGTCCGGGGCTGAACTCTGCCGTAACTCTGCCACAACTCTTGCTGCCTGTCTGGCCTGCAATTCTTCTTCTTGTCTGCCTGCAATTCTTCTTCTTGTCTGCCTGCAATTCTTCGGCCTGTCTGGCCTGCAGCTCTTCTTCTTATCTTCGACTTGGCTGTAACTTCTCTGCGGCTTTCGAGCAATCTTCTTCTTCTTCGACTTGGCTGCAACTTCTCTGAGGCTTGCGAGCAATCTTCTTCTTCTTCGATTTGGGCTGGAAGGATTTCTTGTCTGAGGATTCTCTTGCCCGCAAAGGGGCGAGCGAATCGGGCCCGATGCCCGCGTTCAGGCTCTATCCCTGCCCGCGGTCCAGCTGCAACTCCACTCCAACTGATTTCTGTCGACTGGGGTCCTGCTTTTATTGACGCCGCAGCAAACCGGGGTGGGTCTGTCGGCGTCAGGGTTTTCTCGATAATTTCAAAAGTCGCATTATTTCTGTCTTCTCATTATCGCTATTATTTTCACCCCTACTTCCTCATAGTGCCTTTGGTGGGGAGGCGCGTATGTCAGGTGACCGCTTTCGACCAATGGTTCCTGATCGAGCATTTCTTTCTTTTCTTTTCCGCAGCCACGTGACCGTTTTCGGCTAATGAGACTCTGGTTGGGCGTTTTCCTGCAATCAATCGGGGCGGGCTTATATCGTTCTTGTTCTAAAAAACAAAATCTAATTTGGCCTTTTTCGCACGTACGAAAAATGATAATCTTGGCTTTTTCTCACCTGGGTTTTGTCAACACAGCCTGCCGCTAATTAGATGTGACTTCAGGGAAGAATATTGGCGCTATCTGTGAACTGAGACAATCGTTTTTTTTTTTCACCTCTTGTTTTTTTGGTCAGACCCGACAGTCAGAAAATCTTAATTATCTACATTGAAATTGTCTTTCACTCGTCAATGTGGGGTTCTAATTTTTAACAGGTCAGAATCTGTATACAATTCCACCGGTCACTCCCCTCAACCCAAAGACACTTTTTTCTCTGATTAAGATTTCGTTCTCATTGTTCTAAAAAATTTCCCTTTTCCAAATTGATAAGGTGTCTTTCTACGCAAAAATGTAGGCTAGATGCTTTGACCGATATCTGGTTTTCATCAAGCGGCCCGTTTTGATATCATGTCTTTTCCCTTTCTTTCTTCTTATTATTTCTAATTCTATTCTTCCAATTGTCTTTAAAAAATTCGGTCAACATGCTAGCTAAGATATCTTTCTGACTCGTGTTTTTTTTTAATGACCGCTTTTTTTGTATTTCTCGACCTCTCTTTTTTTTTTCTCTTTTCCTTCCTCTTCTTCCCTTAGGATCGTCTAAGTACAATCTTAGTGAATTATTTTCAACTCAATTATCTTCCGTTTTAAAAAAAATCAACAACCTGTTTAGTAAACCGAGTAAGAAAAAATTAAATCATATTTCTATGAATATTTCTAATAATGCAAGGTGCCACACCATCGTGTCATTTTTATTCTTAGAAAATAGTTTTTAAATTTCCTTGCCTAAATTGTAAGCGTTAGTAATGTAACTTGTTCAAACTGAGTGGAATTGTCTTTTTTTTAAAAAGAAGTAAAGAAGTATTAAGGCTTAAAAATAACCGCTTAGTAAGTATTTACTCTGTCCTCCAACTAGGACGAGATGTGACACAAGGTCTATTTTTAGGTGGGGACCCGAGAGCGTACACCCGGGACAGGAACAAAAATTCCCCCCAGGCCCCGCTGGCCTCGGTGCGAGAACCGATCCTTCACTCTGGTGCAATGGGAGGGCGCGATTCAGGCAGCTGTTCCCCAGGGCTGGGCACCTCTTCAGTATAATTTTCTCATTTGCCTCTCTATCCTTTGACATAGAAGCTCCTGAGCGCAACTGAGAGATGATAAATAGACGCGAACCTACTCAAAAAGAGTAAGGTAAACGCTAAATGACCCCTTAGTATCTTATCTCCAGTCAGTTATGGGCTTAATAGCAGGACATAGCCTTGGTTGGCAACCAGTCTATCCCAGAAAGAAATAGCAACCTAATGCGAGAAAATCTTTTGCCTAGTCAACAACGTAGATTAGGCGAAATGAATTAGAATTTAAATTTAACTTGAAGCAGTAATGGGGTAATGTTCTTGTTAAAATTATCATTATTGAAAAAATGATCAAGCCTTTCGGGAACAGAGCGTCTCTGTCGCCGGAAGTGAGTAAAGAAATTAACTTAGAAAAAGGTACGCAAGCTTCAATTTTTAAGCGATCGCTCATGCGTTTATCATATAATGCAGGGGCTCCGTAACCTACGGTATGCGGCGACAAAACCTTTTGGGATATTGGTTCGTTGTGCCTTGGTAGATAATTTTTTTATTACCAAAGACTATCTTACATATTTATAAGTCTCCAATTCACCCCTGCATTGAATATTGCTGTCACATCTTGTCTGCTGCTTCATCTTTTCCGATAAGTCCTTCATATATGGTAGGCAGACTATTAACATTTTCTCGGTGTTATCATCTCGTACCCTTTTATTCCATTTTATGGGGGCTGTTGTCATATACTCCGGGTAGTTGTTATATGGTAAAGCAAGGGTCAGCAACCTACGGCACGCGTGACACACGTGGCACACCAAACAATTTCAAATGGCACGCAGCCGCAAATGACATCACAAAACCCTAAGTCGGCAGATAATTAGCAAAAGGTTTGCCGATCCTTGACGTATGGCACTTAACTGACTGATAGTAT